ATAACGTTGCGTCTTTTAAAGATAAATAATAATGCTGTTTAATTTTTTTTTTCATATCTTAACGTGTAACAAATAAAACATGCTATACATGATGTTAGACTATACTTGATACTTCAAAAAAAATGTTCTTCAGAAATTAATCGATAATACCTACATTATTTCATTTTATATGTTATATATTTTGAGTACCAATAGATCAAAACAGATGTTAATTGTTCACAAAAACCATTGCCAAGGTTTTCTAGGGTTCCATAGCCTTCATGGAATATTATTTCTGGTCCAGCAGTTACAAGAAAATTTATTATTTACTATGAATTACTAGTTGTGTCTGTTTTCTCATTGTAATTTATAAAGATTATTTGGTACATCAAAATTATTATTGTTATTTCATAATAATGTTGATTAATATGGTATTATCGATTGTAAATTAAGTTGGAAGAGAATGTAAGCCTATTTCTGTTCCAAATTTACTTGGAAATTTCAATTAATAATTATACTTTTTAGTTATTCATTGTTTTATTTTTCCCTGTTCGTGGTTTTAGCAATGCACATTAATTAGTAATAAATATTTTCAAAACTAAAATCATATACTGCGGGGGAAAGGATTAAACTAAAACCTGTTTCTTTTGTTTGAATGTTGTTACTGGTTTTACTGTTATTTTGTATTATAATTATTGTTATTTAAGTGCCAGTTAAACCAGTTTGTATTTTGTTAAATCGAATTTAGCCAAAGAGTTGGTTTTACAATTAATTAATCGAATAATTAAATCTTCTGTTATGTTTTTACTTTGATTATATTTGCGTTTGTTCGCTGTGATTATATTTTTTACCAAATGTCGTTATTATTAGAAAAGAAAACATTCATTATTTACCACCTGCTCAAATGTTAATATAATATTTGTCTATTATTATTTGACTCGTTAGTTGTGTTTTAATAATGATAACTATTAACGGATTATCGTAAGATAATAAACATTTTTGATAAAATGTTGTTTACCATTTATCGGTTAAATGCATATTGTATAAATGCTGTAATGTAAAGAATGATATTTATTTCTATATTGATTGGCCCAGGTCATTAGCCTTCACTTTCAATTGTCGATTTACAATAAACTGTTTCACTTGGCTATTTTTGAATAATTCTATATATTGTCGGGGTCCACCTAACATGAAAAAACACTAATGAATGAACGAATTAAAGAATAGTATATATATATATATATGTATGATAGAATTAGTCTATGAAAACTAAATTGTGAATTAACATATTTTTTAAGGTAGAATTTAATGTACTTAACATTGTTTTACACTCGTGTTTTTTCAAATACGCTTGAATGCAATATTATATTGGAATAGTGTCATCAGTTTTTAGAAACTGAATCAATTCTATTTTAAGAACTCTTTGACTCTTCACTGTTTTATTTGAGTTATTTTTCAGAACAATAGTATATTCATAATTGTTGCAGTACACCTCTTATAAATTACCATTTTTATCATGTTTCCGTATTTTATGCATTGCTATCATAATAATGCTGGTACAATGTGTAAGGATTATTAAGTTTTGAATTATTTCTCTAAGAAAATTATATTAATCTGATTTGATTATTTCTATTTTAACATTTCAATTTTTTCAGATAAACTAACATTTTGAATAACCGTTAATTGACGTAAATTTTCGATATCAAAATTCAACACCGTATCTAATATTAATAGTATTGTGTAGTCTTTCAAATTATAAAACTTTGTAACTGTTATATAATATTCTCTCCTTTGATTTCAACTATTAATATTACCATATATTAAATATAATAATAATATATATATATTTAATATCTCTAAATTTAAATAAATTATTTTTGTAAGTGTGGATTTTATTTGTTAAAAAGTATTTTTTTTTTTATTTATTTATTTAAATGAAGACTTCTAAGGGGGAACATATTGATATTTATTTTGTCATTCTAAATTTTATTAATTTTTAAATTAAAATCAATTGTATAGTTTTTTTGTCCAATATTAATTATATTATAAATTTAAGTATATTCATTATATTTGAAGAAATTTTATTTTCGTGTATCAATAATTAACAATTATAACTTATCTCTTCAATACTGCCTTGACTTGAAAAAAAAATATTTAATTAACTAATTAGTGCTTCATAATATATTTGAGTTAAAATAGTATTACGAATTCCCCGAATGGGATAGTCTTTGATTACCTATAGCTTTGCCCGTTCAATTTGATAGCAATTTTTGGAAATATGCTAGATTGTCCAGGCCGCTTAATGATGTTATAATTATTACTTAATATAGTAATGTAACTTTAAATAATTATTGCAAATTATTGTGTTTATAAATGACCTTTGGAACCTTTTTTATTTTAATTTGTTAGGTTAAGATGATGTATTTAATATGTAAAATAATGTTTATTAAACCTAGTCGATTTTAACTTAATTATATTAGATATGATATTATAAGTTTATTGTGGATTTATTTTAAAATAGTGAATCTATTATACTGACATTTATGTATTGTACATGTTGACACACGCCTGGTCGTTAAGTGTGATATGTAAAATTATATTACCTGTATTTCAACGTGTATTGATAGGTAGATGTTTATTGTAATATGAACTCTGTGAGTTTAAGAGTAACCGTGTATCGTGTGTAAACGTAAGAAAAATATTGTTTTCTAAGCGCTGAGATTTGTCCGAAAGCATTCAATTTTTAATGGAACAAAAAATATTCATGTCTATTTTAAAAAACCGAGCGACCGCTGCTTACGGTTGTTTGTTGTATTAGTCGTGATTATTAAAATTGGAATTTTGTGGTAGGAGTAGAAAAATCATCAACGAGCGTGTTGGTTTTACGCCTTAAATTATATTGTATTAACGTAAAAATATTTTGTTTATTTTCAGAACCGAGGAAAAATGCCTAGAGGTAAAGCGACCGATGCAAAACCTAGAGGTCGTATGACCGCGTACGCATTTTTCGTACAGACGTGCCGCGAAGAGCACAAAAAGAAACACCCCGATGAGAATGTAATATTTGCCGAATTTTCAAAGAAATGCGCCGAAAGGTGGAAGGTCAGTGTCACACATCCTATTTATGTTTATATTATTGTTTTTTTCTTTTTACCCACGTACACATGTTGGCTAATTGATCGCGCACGGTTAATTAAAAACACAAATGTGACGACGCGGGCAAGAGTTGCATAGTCGTCGACGTTGTCTTTCCCTGATTATGGCGTAAATATTACATGTTTATGATGGCCGACGAAAAAAAAAAAAGATCGTAATTTTCCTTTCTCCCCGACCCAAATAGAGCCTCTCGGTACAAACTATTACCATGTTGAATAATAATAACAAAAAAATGTTGTACATTTTCTCTTCTGATTCGAATATTGTGTATACGTTTAATCGCCTATCGCCATCATTATAAAATAATTTAAAAATTATAACGAAAATAATATAGTAATATATAATAATAATATACTGTAAATGAATATATATTTTATCGTATTCCGCTAGGGTTTAAAAATTTAGTCTAATTCTATTTCATTTTTAATTTGATATTAAAAAGTCAAATACGATGTATGAACAATTATTATACCGTCGTGTTATTGTTGTGGACACCATCAACAGCTGAAATTCATTAAAATCCAAATATGTAGGGAAAAAAACCGTTTACTTTTCGAAAGAAATTGGTCGTTTCGTTCGTTACAAACTGCCATGTTATAGTAGTATAAAATATTACTATACAAAACGAACGCACCACCTGCCTGCCTGCCGCCTGCTCTCTACAGAATTCCTTAATGTACGTTTTCATAGTTTTCGGCTTCCAACTAATAATTATTGTTGGACGCGAAAATATTATTGTATACGTTTTATCGTCCTCGTCGAGTCATGGCCTTGTTTCAGAATTTTTTTCGTAACCACCCACATGTTTTAATACCTTTATTCCATCGTAATGCGTTTAAAAAAAAAATATTAAAATATTTTATTTTTCGGTCGAAATAATAAAATGGTGTTCAAACGAATGCATGTGGTTTGGCTGTGTATTCGTGTGCTGTTGCTACCATTGCTGTTGTTTCCGAGCGGCTGGGGTTCCGTAGGACTGGTTTTCCGTTAAGGGGGTGAGAGGATGGGTCAGCCGAACAAGCTAAGCGCACACACATACCAGGGAACCAGTTTTAGAACGATATATCTTTTTCCCCGCGCGCATTCTCGGTCCGTCCTTGTCGCACTCGTTTAACCGGCACCCACTGCTGCCAACAATAAAAATTGTTCGGCGTCTCGTCTCTGCGGCTACTGCTGTTGCTGTGGTGTACGTCGTCGTGTATATAATATAATATATTACATTATTACACAATTATTTCACTAGTACTACTTCTAATAATAATAATATAAGATGGCACGTCGTTTGTGTACGCGTACAATTAATATTATGTGCTGCAGGTACTTATTTATTAATTCATCCATTTGGTTGGAAAACACGCGACCAACTGGACACTATATTAAAATGTCCAAAAGTTGAGAGCAATAAATAAATATCATGTACGTAATATGTGAATGACAAAATAACATACGGATCGTTAATATTTTAGTACGATGGTGTGTCATTCACGCGTATTTACTTACATACTGTGCAAATAGTATTTGGTCGAAGTGAATTTTATTATAAATGAAAATAAATAAAATAATGAACAACAGAAATCGTAGCCTCCTTATCCGGGGTTATTTGCCTGCTATAGATGTACGGGTGGAAGTGTCGGTAGGGAGGAAAACTGCGTGTGTGTAGGAATGAGCTCAGGGGTTCTACCATCGATTTTTTGTGTGTAAAATGCTGGGGTTGTTTTCTGGAGGGTGCGGGAATAACATGGCGGCAGTGGAGTTTAAAACTGAGAGCGCTGGCGCAATTATTAAAATTAACCCCCCTCCCATAAACATCGCTTTGTGCGCCGCACCCTCACTGTGCGTGTAATAGCCAGCCAGCCAGCGCGTACACACTAACACATGCACACGGTTCTCTCACATTAAGCCTTCGAAGATACATTGGCAGAAAGGGCACGAGGATATATATATATGTTAAGAGGGTTGCGAAAATTATATGATATTGAGGAATGCACTAAAAATTCTACTCTGTTCTATTCTCAATCATTTTTTCCTTATTATTTTCTTTTTGTGATTTTAAGCCAAAACATCTTTTTTATATACATTTGTGTTTTTGTAAAAATAATCCACCTTGTATGTACTCCATTTAAAAACAAGAAGTTTGTATTCTATGAGTTACAAGTGGATAGGTGCAATTAACAAAATCAATAGGTTTCATAAGGTTTGTTTGTGGGAGGATATAAAAGGGTGGGATTAAATCTATAGTTTCCATTGGTTTATATTAATTTGTTTTATTACATGATTATTCAAATAATGTTTGAGCTAATTATAGTTATTTTTTTTTTTTTTGCTAATTGTGGTATACATAATTTTGTTATTTTTTTGTTTCTTTGTTTTAAAATTAATTTTATTGAACATTTTTTTCTTTAGACAATGAATGAAAAGGAAAAGAAAAGATTTCATGAAATGGCTGACAAGGACAAGATGAGATATGACACTGAAATGCAAAGCTATATTCCACCCAAGGGTGAAAAAGTGCGCGGTAAAAAGCGAAAGCAAATCAAGGATCCAAATGCACCTAAACGCTCCTTGTTAGTATTTTCTTATTGTGATGAAAAAAAAATATTAAATAATGAAAGTCATAATATATAAATACTCTTCATTTCAGGTCTGCCTTCTTCTGGTTCTGTAATGACGAACGTGGAAAAGTTAAGGCTGTAAACCCAGAGTATGGTGTTGGTGATGTAGCTAAAGAATTAGGCAAGAAATGGTCTGATGCTGATATTACTGTAAAACAGAAGTATGAAGCTATGGCAGAAAAAGATAAAGCAAGATATGAACGAGTAAGTTTTTATTATTAAAATGTTTCAAATATATATATTAACTAAAAAAATGTTTATTAGGAAATGACGGAGTACAAAAACAAGGGCAAGCCAACCTTGTTACAACAACAACAACAACAACATCAACAAATGTTGGTCCAACAACAACAACAAATTCTTGCACAGCAGCAGCAGCAGCAGCAACAAATGATGGCAGTAAAAGATGAAAGTGATGAAGATGATGATGATGAAGACGATGACGAGTGATCTCGTTTAGATTCACATCTGAATCTTTTTTCTTTTCGTACCTCGAAAATATTAATTTTAAACTTTGTAAATACAAATAAGATAATTTTTAAGTTCTAGATTAAAAAGTAATTTTGTACAGATAACTGTAGAAAATTGGTTTTGTCTCAACAAAAATAATAATAATAAATATTGGATTCAAATTTTTAATTTTTATATTAGAGATTCCTATATTTTTACTAAAACTATACAAAATTTACCGTAAAAATATTTCTTTACAGACTGATATATTATGATGAATTTTAAAATTACATTTTAATTTTCCAGGAGTATAATATTAAATTATGCCATTGGATTTCTTATTTATTTAAGGTTTAAACTGAAAATTACCTCCTGTAAAATATAAATGTAATTTTATTTTTTGTACATACAATTTTTTTTTTGTTTATTTTTTTTATTATTTTTTTTTTTTATTATTTGTAATTTTAATATTAGAAAGAAAACCGCATACGGCGATAAATTGCGAGATCTTTACCATTTCAATATTTTCATATAGGAGATTCATATATTTAAATTAATTTTTATTTTACAATTAAGTTTGAATTTTTTGTTATGACGAAAACCACTTTTTTTGTATTTGTATTCAGATAAAAAAAAAAAATGGATATAGTCCATAACATACAAACTTGATAATTGTTCATAAGAATATTTATATGTACACTATGAAAGATTTTGCACTTGTGCAAAACTGTGTGACAAATATTCTCGCAAAAAAAAAAAATAATAAAAAATTTGATAAATTACCATGTTTCGACTTTTATTTTTAGTTTTTTTAGGGGAATTAACTTGACAAATCATTTATGAATATTGGATTTCAATACTTGGTTAAGCTTTATTTCTTTTATTCATCTTCATTTGAAGAATTCTATACCAAAGTTTGAATAACATTCGTTCTGTTCCAATTAATTTTTCTTTATTTGAGAAAATTGTAACACAAGTATTCATGTAATAACAAATAATATTTCTCGTTTGATTTCAGTGATCTTCAATATAAATTTTTTAAATTAATTGTAATGAAGTCTATTATCTAGAATTTAGATTAACTTTATTTCATAGTCTTCATGTTAAACTATGCTCTTATTATGTTATAATTTGTATAAATCAATTTATTTATGTATTTTATGACTGAGACAAATGCTACAGTTTTAATAAAAAATAGAAATAATACGAACAATTTAAAGATTAAAACTCATTTATTATTATTATTATTAATTTTTATTTTTTACATTTTACATCCAACCAATATACATCGGTTGCCATCCTGTGTTTAAAATTATAATTTTAGTAGAATATATAATATAATCATTTCTAAATTTTTATTTTCATTTGTATAAAACATAAAAAGAAGCTGTATACAGGTTAAAACTTGAGTAATTAAGTAGTTATTATTTAATAATTTAAATAACATGAAATGGATAATAAAATAGTATGAAAAGTTAATAAAATTATATACACTTGCAAAATGTGATACGGATAAACGCTTCTTATATTTCAGTATAGTGTGAATGTTTGGGTTATTGGTTTTAAAATAAAATTTTCTGTTGAAACAGTTATTCAATATACTTAGATGATTATAAATTATTATATAAATCTGCAACATACTTGAATTTTATTTCTTGAAAAATAGCCAGGATATGATGCATGTATAAATAAATTAAACAAGTTTAATTATTATATTAATTTCATTGTATAAAATGCAAGTTACAATATAATTTAAATATGCTAAACTTATTGATTTATTAGAAATTGAATTAAATTTCAATATAAATATGTTGGAATTGAGGACATAGACACATGTGTAGGAACAACATTTTTCCCAGGTCTTGGGGAAATAAATTTATTTAAATTTTTTGTTTATAATCTTCCTACTTCGATGAATGTTAATCCAAATGAAGTAAAGTTTGGTGTGCTGCCTATTGTTTACATTTTATAAATTGAATTTATTAATTATTCAGTGCAGTGGTGTTACTAGAACTTTGATTAACATAAAATTATAAATATTATTTACTAACAAAATGTATATTATTTAATTTATACATAAAGAATTGTTTTATCAATCTTATGGATAATTTTTACTTCTTGCTTTTATATGCTTCAGCAAACTTAAAGATTCAATCTTTGAAGTTAACGTCTCGAGCTAATTTTTTGTTTGATTAAGTTAAAGCCATTTTCGATCTTATAATCGAATTGTGTAATCAAAAGTCACCAATACGATTTTCTAGAGGTTATACCATAGTAATTGTAGAGTGAGTTTCTTTGTTATTTCTCTTTTAAAATTATTACATCTATTCATGCTAATATTGTAGATGCTGCATGTCGACAATCTAATACTGTTAATAAAATAATAAGTGTCTATCCGCCATTTTTTTTTAAATGTTAATTAATTTATTAATTATTTTTATAAAGTTCATGGTATTTTTAAATTTTGTTATAACGGAAATATGCTTTTTTTTTCACATTTCCTGATGGGCCAATGGCTCATTGCCCGTCATGCCACCTTATTAGTATGCTACCTATTCAGTGCTTGAAGTTCACTAAAGCATATGCGCAACTAGGGTTAAAAATTTGGGGAGGCTATAGCCCTCCTACCAAAACTTAAAATAACCTGTAGATTATCCCTATTCTTATATTCCATATTTTATATTCTGAGCCAAATTTAATTTACTGCAATTTGTCTTTTTTTTTGGCACTATGGTGAGTTAAGTATGCCATGTAAAACGTAGAATATTTATGGGGGGGCTAAATTTGGTCCAGGGGTGCTAAGCCCCTCCAATTGCGCTTATACACTGAAGTGGTGTATACCGGAACTACTGTATCTATCTCGAATGGACATTGGTAGCTTGTTACTTATTAAACGTGAAATTAAAATTAATTCACGACATCCAAACTTGTATGTACTTTGATAGGTATTAAGTACCGGCCGATGCCGCGACTACTCCTGGTCTAATTTCGTTATCTAGACTTTACATATCAGTCAATCTCCGTCATAAGCACTGCTAAACGATAATATTAGTCGTTCAAATTTATTATTTTAGTTATAATTCAGTATTTATAATTATGAATTTTTGAAATTTACCGAATAGTAAAAAATATGCAGTTGAATTCTTTCATGAGAAGGGTTTACTTCCAAGACACTTGGACACTTCAATGTAAAAATGGTGTTAAAAAAAATTGTTCATCTGGAAAAATTATGTTTTTGTAGATAATGATTTTATGTTTTATATGCATTTTTTATATATTATAAAGATATAAATTCCACTTCTGTGATAGTTTATGTAATAATAAACGTTATGCCATAATATATATTGTATTTATATAAATGACAAATTCATGTTGGTAGAGACTTTAAGGAGTAGGTCGAGATAATGCAATTGAGAGTCGCGGTAGTCGGGATAACGGAAAAGTACCAAAATATATTTTATCCTTGCATGATTTATTTATTGCTTAATCTACGAAAATTTAATTTTTTACGATTGCGTTATTTGTTAATCTATTTACTTTACATTAAATGTATGAACATTGCGTTTGCATGTACACATATATATGCATTTATAACAGTATTGATATTGCTAATCGTAGGTATGCAATATGAATACGGATTTCCCCATAGTTGGATTATTAAGATAAAAGTATTTTACATTTGATTTACATATGGCCCCACCAGTGGCCATCTCACTAGCTTCATCTTAGACAGTTATTTTTCTTATAAACAGAATTATTTTAAAGTAGGTTTGTTATGTGTTATAACCACATCAATAGCTCATATTAATTGCTATTATTTTTTTTACCCTTGAAATCTCATTTTTTTTTTTTTGTGGCCTCACCTTGTAGTTGTTGGCCTCCTATTGGCCCTACCTAATAAATAAATCCCAGCGCCGCCACTCTATTACTACCTACATTTCCGAATTATTTATTTATTTTTATTTTTTGTTAGGATTTAGCTCTACAGTCATTTCGTTTTGCTAATTATTATTAAATAATGTCATACTAAGTCAATAAAATCGTGACTAGAGTTTGATTATTTATATACCTAATGATGAATTATTTATTAAAAATCGGTCGTATTTTACAAATATATAATACCCCAAGCCAAGCATTTATTTATTTATTTCTATGTATAAACTATTTGTTTATTTATTTCTATATTAATTATTGTTAAGTATGTTATACATAAAAAAAAACCACTATGATAGATAATAAAAGATATTAAAACCATTATAATTGTTATTAATTTAAATTTTAAGTTCTACCAAGCCTTTATTGATAATTTTTGATTTTTTTTTAAGTTTTTGAAGTTGTGCAGTTAAATGAAAAATCATGAAATATATTGAGTGTTAAATCGTTTTTTTTTTTGTTGTATCATTTGTGGTTTAGAAATTATATTGTAAATTTACTAAAAGTATAAGAATGCAATAGACTGAACATTCATGTTGAGCAGATGCACGCCCATGGACGTAACTAGAGCCCAAATATTGGGGGTATTGAAATTGCTGAAAATAAAACTAAATGATATTTAACTGTAACTACATAGATTATATAGAACTGAAAAAAGCAGGATTACTACATTTGAACTCAGGATTGCTAAAACCCCCTTTTGCGCTCCCCTAATTGTGCCTATGCCTATGCCTACGCCTAATAAAAGAAATAATGACATGGACTTTAGTGGGATGGACCTCTAAGAAGATGAATAGAAAATATAAATTAAATTTGCTATAAGGTAGCCCAAGAATTTGAAACAGATTGTCAAAATATAATACACGATAGAGAGAAATGGAAGAAGTTTTTGCGGTAGTTTCTTAATGGAACGTAAAGCCAGAAAAAAAAATTGTAAAGCGCCAAGGCTTACTATAGTCTATTGTATTAATACCTATTATTAAATGTTGCTTAGTTTGTTTTTATAATAATTTTTCAAAAATTAATAGTTTTCATATTTACTATCACTAATATTGACTGTTAATATATTTATCTTTTAAGTTTAGTTTTTGATAAATTATTCTGTTAAATATCAATCGTTGTGTTCTTGAGATATAACTCGAATTCACAAGCATTTATCTATTGTTTTATAAATTTATATAACCATTATTTCATACATGGTAGAAAAAACTTGGGTACCTAAGTCAATTTATTGGTCGAACAGTCACAG